TTAAATACATACATGCAAACATACTGGTCTCCCCTCTCACTGAGTTAATCAAAATGAATACTTACATTACTTTCTTTTTATTTGCTATGTTAATGTAAATACTAAAAAAAATAAGATTGCGAAAATAATAGATACCCACATACGTTACTTTCTTTTTATTTGCAATGTGCTTGTTATGTATATACTAAAAAAAATCCAAAAATAATAAATACTACATTTATTTATTTTTCTAACATGATATTTGCTTCCTGAATGTGTTATATAATTTTGTATATTTTAAACTTCCATACTATATTTCTGTTCCTTTTTAAAAATATTAATATATTTTTTAAACTTTATTTAAAATGTTTAAATTGGTGTTGGATTAACTTAATTAATTTAGTCTTGTAAATATGAGCATGAATTTATCTAAATAAACTAATCTTAATTAAACTATAGTCATCTGCTTTTTGTATAAATAAAATCCATTATTTATGAATTATATTTCATTGGAGAAATAATAATTTCTTACTTAATTTTTCAGATAGAATCTAACTGGTTGCATCCACAACAATAATTTAACCATTTTATTTTAATTTCAGGTTGCTGTACAAAAGGCGTCTTGAAGCATCGGCAGCTACATTTAAACAAATATATATATATTAATACATAAATTATTTATTTTTAGTTATTAAAATTTTTTAATTTTTCGTTTAGATTGTTTCTATCGGAGAGTCATTGGATGTTGCCCATAGCCATTGGAAAATGCTGCACGGGAAAGATGATAACAAAGATGAAGGGAAAGATGCCTACAAACGTCTCGATTCAGTGGAGGTAGTTGTTTAATTACTAATACACTTCAATTTTGCATACTTATAATTGTTTGATTTGTTTGCAGTCATCATAGGAGCAGTAAACGGTGTTCGGTGATTCTGCCAATTTAATATGAAGTATCCGACAAACGCCAGCAGTTACTTGAAATCAACATTTTAAAAGATCTATATATAAGTCGTAAAAACGCAATCAAATTTTGCAAAGTTGTAACGAAACCGATTTTTTGTGAACCAATGTAAATGATTTGCAACTGTTAATATATATCAAAAGAAAGGTAAATCGATTACCTTTCTTTTGATTATACTTTTGTTAAAATCGCTAAAATATTTTATAGAAATTTTGCAACTTTTGAAATCATCTATATGTAAGCAGTGAAAAAGTCGTCAAATTTTGCAAAGTTGTGATAAAACTGAATTTTTGTGGACCACTATA